TGGGCTTAGGCAATTTTCTTGCCTCAGCCTCCTGAGTAGCTGGGACTACAGGCCCCCGTCACAACACCTGGCTATTTTTTTTGTTGCAGTTTGGCCAGGGCCTGGTTTGAACCCACCACCCTCAGTATATGGGGCCAGCGCCCTACCAACTGAACCACAGGCACCGCCCAGTTTGAAACATATCCAAACAAAAAGAAAAAAACGTACAATATTCATTAAGAGCTGAGTGTGGGCTGGGTGTCGTAGCTCAGTGGTTAGGGCACCAACCACATGCACTGAGGCTAATGGGTTCGAACCTGTCCTGGGCCTGCAAAACAAAAACAAACAAAAAAAATAGCCAGGCATGTGGCGGGTAACTGTAGTCCCAGCTACTCAGGAGTCTGAGGCAAGAGAATCGCTTGAGACCAAGAGTTTGAGGTTGCTATAAGCTACGACACCTGGGCACTCTACAGAGGGTGACAAAGTGAAACTCTGTCTCAATAAATAATAATAATAATAATAATGGGCAGTGCCTGTGGCTCAGTGAGTAGGGCACAGCCCCATATACTGAGGGTGGCAGGTTCAAACCTGGCCCCCAGTAAACTGCAACAACAACAAAAAAAAATATATCCAGGCATTGTAGAAGGGGCCTGTAGCCCTAGCTACTCAGGAGGCTGAGGCAAAAAAATTGCCTAAGCCCAGGAGTTGGAGGTTGCTGTGAGCTGTGTGATGCCACAGCACTCTACCAAGGGGGATAAAGTAAGACTCTCTGTCTCTACAAGAAAAAGAAAAGAAAGAAAATGTAGCTACTGCTATTATCCACAATCCTGCCAGGCACAGTGGCTCACACCTGTAATCTTACCACTTTAGGAGGCCGAGGCAGGTGGATTGCCTGAGCTCAGGAGTTCAAGACCAGCCTGAGCAAGAGCAAGACCCTAAAAAGTAGCAGGGCGTTATGGAGGGTGCCTGTAGTCCCAACTACTTAGGAGGCTGGGCAGAGGCCAGATGGCCAACTGGAGCCAGCTTTCCACAGAGCCTCCCGTCCAGAAGGAGCGTTAAAGGACAGAAGTTTAGCAAGTAAGCTAATAGTTTGGAGCTGAGCCAAGAGAGAAGTTTGAAGAATGCACATCAACCCTGCTGAGACGAACTGTGACCCCAAGGATACAAACAATAAGTACAAAATCCATCACCAAGTGGACAGGAGTCCCCTCCCCCAAGAGAATGGCTCACAGTATACTTTCTACAAACAAGTGAGCAGAGTTCAAACATCCTTCCCATTTTATCCCATGGGAGAGACCCTCTAAAAACCAGACCTCCTTCCCCTACTAGGGTATCATGGCACTCTCCTGCCCAGCATAAAACTATATAAAACTGTACATATTTTCTACCTGCAATTCTGAATTCCCAACTACTTAGGAGGCTGAGGCAAGAGGATCGCTTGAGCCCAAGAGTTTGAGGTTGCTGTGAGCCAGGACACCACAGGACTCAACAACAGGGCGCAGAGTAAGACTCTGTCTCAAAAAAAAAGAAAGAAAGAAAATACAATCCCATTACCAAGATTATAATCACTAATAAGATTTTGATACAGGCTCAGCGCCTGTGGCTCAAGTGGCTAAAGCACCACTTACACCTGAGCTAGCGAGTTTGAATCCAGCCCGGACCCACCAAACAACAGCTGCAACCAAAAAATAGCCAGGCATTGTGGTAGGCGCCTGTAGTCCCAGTTACTTGGGAGGCAGAGGCAGGAGAATCACTGGAGCCCAGGAGTTGGAGGTTGCTGTGAGCTGTGAGCTACAGCACTAGATCTACCCAGGGTGACAGCTTAAGGCTCTGTCTCAAAAAAAAAAAGAAAAGAAAAAGATTTTGATACATTACTCTGTTTTTTTGTTTGTTTGTTTTTGCAGTTTTTAGCCAGGGCTGGGTTTGAACCTACCACCTCTGGCATATGGGGCCGGTGCCCTACTCCTTTGAGCCACAGGCGCTGCCCCTATTCCTTTGGTTTTTATATTTACTTTCACAAACAGAAATCACCTCAAACATATAGTTAAGTTCAGCCTGAGCAATGCAGTGAGACCCCATCTCTACGAAAAAATTTATAAATTAGCCAGTATGGTGGCTTACATCTGTACGTCTCAGCTACTTGGGAGGTTGGGGCAGGAGAATGACTTGAGCTCAGAAGTTTGAGGCTGCTTTGAGCTATAACTGTACTCCAGCTGGTCAACAGTTCAAGAGCCTATCCCCCTTCCCCCTGAAATATATATATGTAGTTACATATTCTAATTTTATTTTACTTAGTATTAAAACAATAATATATGTATGGAACTTCTTAACACTTTTGATATTCTATCCTTCCAGATTTGAACCTTTGGCCTTTGACCGTAGCCCATGTTGGGTCCTCATGGCCCCTCTCCCTGTAGAGCACACTCAGTGCCCTCTGGCCTGTGCACCTCAGTTTCTTGCCCAATCACCTTGCCCAGCTTGATTCTAGCTTCCTTTTCCCTCAGGGATGTACACCTGCACAGCTCAGGGCATTTGGAAGAATGAACGGGAGGGAGAGAAGATTCCTCGGTGCTTACCAGGTGAGTGCAAAGCCTCTAGGGTCATCCTCAGTGTCTTCTGCAGCCCGGAAGGGCCCTAAGAAGAAGTATGGCACCGAGAAAGGAGACCAAGCAAGGAGAGGGGAGGGGAGCATCCCAGGAGAGTGGAACAGAGGGACAGAGAACTGGACGCAGTCCTGACATTGCAGAATTTTCACTGAACAGATGGGAAATCATGAAAGATAAACAATAAGAGAAACCACAGGAAGACATAAATGAGAACAAGGAGAAGAAACTGACAATAGGCCAGAGAAGGAGGTGTGGGAAGATGAGAAGAAAGGAAAAGAGCCAAGAGCCAGGAAGGGGGGCTGAGGGGGAATAAGGGCAGGACCCAGAGATGACTAGTGCCTGACTTCCCGTCTCTCCTCCTCAGTGTGTGGGAAGCCTGTCCACCCAGTGGAACAGAAGCAGCGCATCATAGGAGGGCAGAGAGCCAAGCCAGGCAACTTCCCCTGGCAGGCGTTCACCAACATCTATGGGCGCGGGGGCGGGGCCCTGCTGGGCGACCGCTGGATCCTCACTGCTGCCCACACCCTCTACCCCAAGGATCACGACATGCAAAACAACGCCACCGTGGATGTGTTCTTAGGCCACACGAAAGTGCAAGAGATCATGAAACTGGGGAATCACCCAGTCCGCAGGGTCAGCATCCACCCAGACTACCGTCAGGATGAGTCCCACAATTTTGAGGGGGACATCGCCCTGCTGGAGCTGGAGAATAGCGTCACCCTGGGCCCTAACCTCCTCCCCATCTGCCTCCCTGATAACGAGACCTTCTATGACAAGGACCTCATGGGTTACGTCAGTGGCTTTGGGATAACAGAGGAGAGGCTTTCTAATGACCTCAGGTTTGTCCGTCTGCCCGTAGCTATGCGAGAGCTCTGTGAGAATTGGCTCCAGGAAAAGAAGAGGAATGATGTGTTTTCTCAAAATATGTTCTGTGCTGGGGACCCAACTCTGAAGCAGGATGCTTGTCAGGGCGATAGTGGGAGTGTTTTTGCAGTGAAGGGCCAGGATGATCGCTGGGTGGCCACTGGCATCGTGTCGTGGGGCATCGGGTGCAGCAGGGGGTATGGCTTCTACACCAAACTACTTAACTATGTGGACTGGATCAAGAAAGAAATGGAGCAGGAGAGCTGATCCCAGAATTTCCTAGATCGTAGTCCAGAGAAATGTGTATGAAAAAGCCATTATCTGACCAGTTATCAATAACCACTAAGTGTCTTTATTAAAATCACTGATGCAGAAAGACACTGTGTGAACTAAACTCTCTTTCCTAAGGTC